CAGATGTAAACACCTAACATGGAATGGGCCTAAGTTATGTCGATGGGTGCTGAATAAAAATAGGATAAAATGGAAAACAGTAAGTTTCCATCTAAGAGCCCACCGCTTACGGTCCCAGTTTGCTTAAGATCCCGCCGTTTAAAAAAAATAAAATTTTTACTACATGTACACTAACTAAAGTCACCCCTAAGATCCTGCTCAGAATGATCACATTCGGCTAAAATCCTGCTTTGCTGATCATATTTTACAGAACAAAAACCTGGGCAGGAACCTGGGCAGGAATGCCGTGAAAGTTTGCAATCATTGAACTGCCTGTTGCGTCACAGAAAACCCCCTCTCGTGAATGTGATCAGATCTGGTTGTTAATCCCGATGGAACGGTTCAATGTTTGCCCCAGATGTGATCACACGGAGGTGTGAACTCGTCAATGTCTGTTTTTCCCCCAAAATATGGCACTCGCATTCTGAACTGTCCATCTAAACTTCCACGACAAGCTGGGTGGGTAGGGCCTACAAGTCCGCATAAGACGGGATTAAATCGAAGGGTGACCTTATTTAGGCCACATATGGCCTAAGCTAACCCCCCCCCCCCCAACCTTATTTAGGCCACATATGGCCTTTACAAGCTACCTTATTCTTCTTTTTCAAAGTATTGTGCATACATTTGTGTGAAACTATATTTTCTGCTTTCAAGTACATAAAAATGTTTATAAAGTCAAGCAAAATGTTCTTTGCAAAAATAGTAGTAGGACCAATGGAGCATTTAATAAACTGCGGAAAGATGACTAGAAAGTAATAAAATCATTTTATGATCTTCACTTGCACTTGCAATTTTTTTGACGAATTATAGTCTGCCTCTTTATCTTATCCCCCCCCCCCCCCCCCCCCCCTACTTTTCTTCACTATTCATGACAACTGTATTGTTTTAAGTTACAGTGGAGTCCACTTATAACGAGTCCTGAAACAACGAGAAGTCTGCTATAAAGACACTATTCTAATACCCCGTTTTTTCCCTTCTTTATCTTTGTAAATAAAATACTGCTATTGCGCAATCAGACCGTCACGCAAGTTGTTTATAACGGAATATTGCTGCTGCTGTGCTCAGGCACAGACAAATTAAACATTATTATAAAACCTTGCCAGTTGAGAAAGTTGTCGGTGATCCAGCGAAACAAGGAATGGGAGAGCCCACGCGAACCAGCAATGAAGTATGAAGGCCGGAGCGAATGAGTGGAGAGGGTGTGGCATGCGCAGACACAAGCAGAACGCATGGCGTGATAGTAGGTACCAGAAACTAAATTTTTCAAACTAACTGTATGCCAAATTTATCTGTTCCATTTGAAAGGCCTATATCCACTGAGCGTTTTGGTACCATTCTTTAACCTCTCCGTCAATTTTTAAGAAAATTGTAGTTGTTTAAAATTTGATCAAATTTGTTAAAGTCAGTCACTGGCTGCAACCCCATGTTTGACAGACAATAACAAAAGTACCAAGTGCACTAAACATATCCACATTAACAGAGCACAATCACTATAACAAATATATGGAGCCTAATTTTTTTCAAGACTGTGAGATCTTTACAAATCAGTATTTTATCGCCTCAAACACGATGATCTGTCGTTATTTCGACAAAAACACCGAGCGTTGACCCGGCGTCGCACTGGCCCCCGCGGCGAGCGAGTCGGCTCTATACTGTAGTGTACCCCGCGTGCGGGGTCACATGCTTTCCGAGTCTCGCGGAAGGATTGATGAAGAATAATTCCAAGTTAATAACTTTATTCTAATAGAAAATGAACTGATCTTTTAATTGAATTCAGTTATAAGTCGGTATTATACATATTTTGTGTAAAAAGGGATCTTTAAACATTTTGACCGTATTTTTAAAAGCTTTCTTTAAAGACGCCAAAGGCTTAACTTATATCACGGGAAAGCCCGTTTAAAGCTCTGTAGTTCTCCGCCAATGAAAAGACGGTATTTAATCATCCCTCGTTCCGCGAAGCATTTGAATGCACGCGTGTCAATTTTTCAACCGGCCGACCTCGCATTCCGACCGCGAGGGGCTTCGCTTCCGTCGGCGATTCTCCAGCTCCTAATGATCGGACATATAAACAACTTACACCATTGTAACGAGGAAAAGCTGAACTTTTACAAGGTGTACGGCATTTGGTGTTTTACAGCGAAAGAGCAAAGAAACCCCGATTTTACCGATACCACGCGGTCGGAAGGCTGCGAGTGCCCGCGAGGCCGTGTTTACGCTACCTAGTGATGATAGGCCAGCCCAGTCTAGATTATCTAGGCATACCGTGCCTCTCACTTCTCTGGTGCGGAATGGAGAGGTCACAATGCTGTGATAGATGGATGGAGTGAATGTATGACGTGCGCGAGCAGACGCAACGCGCCACAGGGTGGGGTGGGGTGGGGGACAACACTGCCGGCGAGTTATCCTAGAGCCAGAGCCCTTCTTTCTGATCGCAAGGCCGATTTGTCAACATTGCTAGTGCTAGAGAAAGAAACCTGATTCAATTTTTGATCAAGTAAGACCTTGAGATCATGTTGAACAAATCATCATGAGGGGAAATACAAAAAAGAATAAACAGAACGCCAAATCATAGATTAGGCCTACTTTACTATTTCCCTTGAATTTATTACTGGATCCCTTGTAACGAGAATCCTGCTATAACGGAATTTTCGCACCGGTCCCCTCCCTCTCGTTATTACAGGATTCCACTGTATTATCAATTAGATCTAGCAATTTTCGTTAATTAGCACAAAATCCCAACCCATAATATTAATAACCATTAACCAATACAGGTTTCTTCTAACAAGGGAAATAACCAATTTTTCATTTAAATGAGACTTGTTACGATGATTACTTCCCTTTAGTCACATGTTTAATGAAAATTAATGAATAAAAACGTGAAAAACTCTGTTCTCTACTAGTAAGTTTGCTCAAAACAGATTTTAAAGGGG